GCTTACTCAAAGGGAGTAGCCACATTTAAGAGAGGTCCTCAGCTAGTGGACATTGTCTCGTTTAGACATGAGATAATTGCCGGATAGGGCAACTGTTCCATGTAAGTGGGCTGATTTAGCTTCCTACCCTTGGCAAAAGCCCTCCAGTGTCTTGAGGCTACAGGCCTATTTAGTGCTCTCTCGGAACAAAAACAAGCACAGTGGCCCTCATTGGTAGCCATGGCTTCCTCGTATCCGTAACAGCTGATGAAATTAGGGTATTCCAGAGCAAAGCAAGTACCAAAGATCATAATAATTATGATTTCTAAATAAATGTGTATTCTTTTTCCTCTGAAACAGTGTGGAGAAAGTGCCAGATACTTACAAGCAGCCAATGACTGCTAAGGTACCCAATAGTGATGAGGCTGGGCTTGATGTAAACCCAGTTCCCTTGAGTTCACCCAAGCCCCCTCTTCACGAACCAATCGGTTGTAGAGAGGTGCATTCCCCGCCCTAGTGATGTATATGTCACAAAGGGGTGTGGAACGTCTACGCCGCAACTGCCACCATCGACTGAGCCAGGAGGGAGGGTGGTGGCCACAGTTTTGATCGGGCTTCTGCTATCTCAAGCAAACTGTGTTCACACAAAGCCCAAGCTCTTCTCGGTCTCATATGTCCATTAAAAAAAAAAACTCTTTTTCAGAATTGTAATTTTAAATATGTCATAAGCTACAAACTGCTGTATCTGCTTATCCTTGCCCTCACATTAGGGAATTATGGGAAGTGTTCTACTGAGGCTTATTGTAGTTTTTGGAGGGCTAAGGGCCACACAAGCAATAAAACTCTAAATGTAAGGCTTAATTCACACCAGAACTGCATCAGAACCGCAGGTGTTTGCAGTGTTATGCGTTTTGCCGCAATTGCATTTTTTGGGGGGCCTTTTTGCTTTAATTGGGATTTCATGTGCGTTCCGTTGCATTTGCATGTGTTTTTGATGCGTTCCGTCGGTCTCCGATGCAGCTAAAATAGTGCAAGCAGTACTTTTTTCAGGCGACATCGGACCGGAACTAGTCTGGTGTGAACAAAACACCAGAATCCCATAGGAAAGCATTGTGCTGCGTTTTTGCTGCAGCTCAAAAACTGAACGGACTGCATCTGATGTGAATGGGCCCTAAGGCCTCGTTTACACCAGATGCAGTGAGTTCTGGCCAGAACGGTCTGCATCGCATTGCAGCCGGCTCACTATGTTGTGGAGCAAAAGGGGGCGTGGTGGTCCATTGAAGTAGCCACGCCTTCCGGCCGCAATGCGATCGGCCGCACGGGATTGCAACGCACATTGTCTGTGGTCCGGTCCCATCAAAATGTGCTTGCAGCATTATGATCGGACCTGACTGGACCGTAGGCATAATGTGCCTTGCAATCCCGTGTGGCCGATCGCATTGCGGCCACACGTGCTACAGTGCCATTCACTTCAATGGACCGCCACACCCCCTCCTGCCCCACAAAAAAGTGAGCCGGCCGCAATGCGAGGCAGTGCGTTCTGGCCAGAAACAGGCCGGAATGCACTGCATCTGGTGTGAACGAGGCCTTAGATAAAATATTTCTGGTGTTCTTTCCAGTCTCACCTTCTTTCAGATAGTCACAACAAAGGACCAAAAACTTTTCATGCGAAGTTATTCAGTTTATTCAGAGGCATTGTCCCCCCCTAATGCTAGTTCCTGGAAGCACTCTGTACAACAAATGGTTGTTGTTTTTTTTTTCTTTATCTGTATTGCAAGTGTTGCGGTAGAAGGAAGGGCTCCATGGTGAGGCCACCTCAGCGTCACGTCATATGACTTCCTCACCAGCTGGACCCCTCTCCTGTGTAATGCAAGTGAGCTTCACGGTTTGCAAGCGTCTCATGTTATTTAGCAATATTAAAATGGTTTCCTCTTTTCTTTTGAAATGTGTGACGGAAAAGCATCATTTCTGGGCCTGTGCCTGCTCTGCTGTGGCTTGAACCCAAGGTTATGGGAACTGAGTTGGCATAAGCGGATGTTTCACAGAGACCAGGTGTTTGTGTGGCCTTTTATTTTCCACTTTTGAAAATGGGGAAGTTGTAAAGCAAATGAAACTTTACACCTATCCGAATTAACATGACACAATAGCATTAAAGTGCTTTTACTTGGGGCATCAGCATACAAGCTAAACAGAACAAACGCTGAACTTGGCAAATACCCCAACCTGCTCGGCATTCGTTTTTGTATTATTACTTTTCTTGGTATATCCTGTATACAAAGGCGTTTCTTCTAATTTGTTTAGTTGGAGATCTGTGGCAGTGACCGCCCTCCTCTAATTAATCAGAATGGGTAGAAAGTGTTCTTTCTGCTTGTGACACCTGCAGCAATTTGGGTAACAGGCATTTCTGTGAATAAGGAACATATCTGAGGCTGGTTTGGAGTGATTAGCACAGAAAGGCCCGTGACAGGCTCTTGTTACTCCTAAAATCCCAGGCAGCTGTGACTCCTCCAGCACAGCAGTTCAATTCCAGGGCACCCCTCAAATACCGAACATGCTGCAGCACAGCTCTGCCTGCAGTGCGATCACACGGCCATCTGCACAAATGTCATGAATGTGGCTGATTAATTGTTGAGTCACACACAAGCCTTCTTGGGAACACTTTAGTACTTTTATGCAAGTCTCGTATTGCCATCAAGGTCTATTTGACATCGTTCAGGTTTTTTTTTAATAATGGAAATTTTCAAACTGTAACTTTGATGGATCTTCTGATTCAGTTCACACAAATAAGTTTAATATTAAAGTGAAACTATTAAATCTATACTGCTTTTTTAACATTTTGAAATGAACGTAGATGGTTTATATGAATTTTAACCCAACCTACTTCTAAGTTATAATAGTAATAAACATAGTAATGCTTTCATAGATCTAAAACCTTGTGAAAAAAAAATGCTTGATTCCCCCATCCACCCTAAACAGCGTGGATAGGGAATCCCCACTGCCAGGCTATTGTCTTCCACACCTTCTGTCAGAATACCCAAACAGTGTGTTTGGCTGAGAGGGGGCCCACACACTGCTCGAATTTTGGTGGAGTTTGCAGAACAGCCAAAATTTGAGCAGTGTATTGCGAGGTTTACACTGATATTGAGATAGATATATTGTATAGAGAGATGTACGTGTGTCGGGGCAGCACATTGGCTTACTCAGGGGTGCCCATTAGGTAGATCGTGATCTACCAGTAGCTCTCAAAGCTGATGCTGGTAGATAACAAAGGGTGTGAATGGTGGCCCCTTTATTCCATTTTGGTATATTTATTTAGCTGTTAGAGAGAGAGAAAAGAAAGCCAGGAAAGAGAGGAGCGACAGCAAGGAGGATGAACAAGGAGAGACAGCCAGGAGAGAGAGAGAGAGCGAGCAAGGGGAGAGAGCAACGAGAGAGAGAGCAAGGAGAGAGAGCGAGCAAGGAGAGACAGCCAGGAGAGAGAAAGAGCAAGGAGAGACAGCCAGGAAAGAGAGCAAAGAGAGACAGCCAGGAAAGAGAGGAGAGACAGCCAGGGGAGAGAGAGCAAGGGGAGGTTTTTTTTTCCGTTGGTAGATCTCATGTAGCTCATCATTTGAAAAGTAGATCTTAACACAAAAATTGTGGGCACCCCTGGGCTTACTGGTTAGCACTCCTGCCTTGCAGCATAAGTTCCTGGTTTGAATCCTGGTCAAGACACTATCTGCATGGAGTTTGCATCTCTCTGGGTACTTCACTTTCCTCCTACACTCCAAAGACATGCTGGTAGGTTAATTGGCTCCTGTCTAAATTGGCCCTAGTAAGTGTGTGGGTGTATGAGTGCATATGAGATAGGGAGGTTAGAGTGTAAACTCCTTGAGGTCAGGGGCTGATGTGAATGTACAGTATGTAAAGCTCTGAGTAAATTGTTGGTGTTATAAATATATGTAATGTTGCAATAAGTGTAGCCGTTCATTTCCAGTCAGCTTTTAACAAATGTGCACAGGCCAAAAAAAGATGTGTTTTCCATCCACCCATCCTTGATGACATAAAGTGATGTGCACAGTTCTTTTGTAGAAACTAGGAAAGGGATTGATTCTCTGCTAGAGTTTTACTACTGGAGAGATTTGGTCCTGGAGACCATTGTCATCAGGTCTGATGTTGAGGGAAAATCCAACATTTAGAGCAGTCCCAATAGCAAACCTTTATTGCAGCACACCACAATGCATGGCATGTATGATGTGGTGTACACTAGTGCAGCTCCTTCGGCACCCAGTGCACTTGAGTGTCGAGGGAGCCACCCCAAGTAGATGGCAATACTATGTAGGGCTGCAACAACTAATCGTTATAATCGATTATTGAAAAAGTTGTCAACTTTTTCAATAATCGATTAATCGGCTTCCGATCAGTTGGCCCTGTACCTAGCCCTGAAGGAGGCCTTTTAACAGTATATATAAGGGATGCACCGATGCCGAGGATTTGGGCGAGTACCCGTACTCGCCCAAATCCTCCCGGTACCTATCTCGATACCCGAACTTCCGGTATCGGGGAGCCAGGCGGCGAGTCATTACAGGCTGCCCGGCTTCCTGATTGGCTGGGAAGCCAGCTCCATGCTCCCTTGTCACCTGTTGACGAGGTAGCATAGAGCCAGCATCCCAAGCCAGTCAGGAAGCCGGGCAGCCTGTAATGACTTGCCACCCGGCTTCCTGATTCCCATACTTCCACATCAGCTGGAGACTGCTTCTGGGCTAATCGGGAAGCCGGGCAGCGAGTCATTACACTCCGCCGGGCTTCCTTTAATGGGATTTCAGCATGTACCAGAAAAAAAAATCCGTATTCTATACCGAAAAAAACGGTATCGGTTCCTTCCTAGTATATATACTGTATATATTTACCATTATGTTACTGTGTTTCAGCAGTAGTTGCTTTATCCCAGAATAAACGATAAGAATGATCAGTAACATATATTTGTACATTGATATATGAATAATCTATGGTTAATGAACAATCTATTTTTTTTTTCACAGCATCAGTGAAAGTTTCCTGACAGTGAAGGGGGCTGCCTTATTTCTTCCACGTGGAAATGGCTCCTCTACTCCAAGAATCAGCCATAGACGCAACAAACATGCAGGTAAGAAGCATGGCTTTCCACTTAGTTGTAGTGAGCATTACCCGGACAGTAATTGGCGTCACTTTGCTGCAGTTGGTTACAAGATAAACTTTTTCCCAGTAAGTTTCTAGATAGTCCACAGTGTCAGGCTAGGTTCACACCTGCACTACATCGCACGACACCTGAGACGCACAATCGTGTTCAGGTGCACACAGCGATTGCCGCGTGGCCCCATTGATTTCAGTGGGGTGACATCCGCGCGTCAATCGCTAAAAAAAAAAGGTACCTTTTTTTGCGACACACGACTCGCGGCTTTTTTGTGTTCACTTGCACAGGCAGAATCCCGTGTGATCAGCACGGCGCGACTGAGGTGGCATTAGAAAATAGTGGCACCCACGGCGCGATCGGTTCACACCTGGGCGACTCCCGACCGCGCGGCTATCGTACACAAAACCGCACGGATTGCCGCTCGGTCAGGAGTCGCCTAGGTGTGAACCTAGCGCAAGAACTAGTTCTGCAAGAAGGTTTTGGTTAGTTTCAGCTATTAATGCATGTTTTAGAGGGCCGTGTACTATATTGTGTTTGTGACATACATTATGTATCAATACCGAGCATAGTGGAATATTACAATAGAACCTGTGCTAAGGGGAACCAATAAAGGCTTTTGCCTTCTTTGTCCTCTATATATTCTATGTATTGACGAGATCACGGATATGATGCTATTGATGTACACTCACCTGTGTTTGCTTAATAGGAAAAATGTTCTCCACGTAGAAGTATGATTTCTTTACGTTGCGCTGTAAATGGCTCTATTGTAACATAATGCATTTTCCACAAGGGAGTGAGCTGCACATTTTGCCTGCTCTTGGGTGATGAAGAGTTCTGTAGATTATCATTGTACAGCACCATCTAGTGTTCAGATCTTAGTGAAATCAAATGGTGGTGGTCTGCAATACTCTTCTATTTCCCATTGCAGCCAGGTTTTTTTTTTTTTCTAACCCGCATTAGGGAATCCGTTTTTATTGTTTTAGCTTTATCTTACATTAAATAAAGGAGCCCTAGTAAAATAAAAAGTTTTAGTTGAGCTCAATAGTTTTTTTCCACCAGTTACCGGTTTAACTTTACTATCATGCTTTTCCTACTATGATATTCTTTACGGTGTACATAATTTAAATAAGCCATCTTGTGATGTTGCTAAACCTTTATAGACCAACATATTATATACAGAGTAAGTAAATCAACAAACCAGTCCTCAAATCCTTTGTGTTAGGCTCAGTTATGTGTCTTTTCACATAATATGTAAACGAAGAAAGTTGTATCCTTGAAGCTGAACATTAATCAACTTATTTTACATGCAACTAGCAAAGGTACCTGAATCAGTCTTTTTATATCGGCTTTCTATTTTCACCTGCACAGCACCACCCAGACTGGAAGAGGGAGGTGAAGCACTAGGAGATAATCAGCATAAATATGACAGGAGGAGACGGCAGATTTGTTGATTTGTGACTTCATTATATCCATAATAGAGAGCCATTTATAGCAAAGTTGTAAAGAAAAGAAAGCATACTGATGACCTGTGACCTCTCTCTGCGTGTTACAGGTCTTTTCTTTGTTCAATCAGCCAGCTGGCAGTGGGGTTGTGACACTTCTATAATCCTCAACTCCTTACCGAAAAAGTGTTGTCAGCCTCCTGGCTTTGCGGTCTGGCAAAGGTGCATCAATCACAACACACAACAGTGGCTAGACAGAATGACAAATCTTTGGGTAGTTTTGCCATTTCAAATGTGTGTATTTTAATTGTGAATTTAGCTGTTTGCTTGGAGTCCACCCTTTCACTGTGGTGCATTTCAGGTAATCCTTTATTTATTTTTATGGGAGCTGAGGCATATGGAGAGTAGCTTGTCAAGTTTTCTTCAGGGCATATGAAAGCTTTGCTGTGTGCATGCATGCAGAGTTTGTGTCACTGACGATCCTGCCACTAGTGACAGCCACCGAACTGGAGCTGCTACTTGACCTAATGGAAGTCATTCCTTGGAGTTGTCACCATCACCAGTGTGACATGGGCCTAATGGAGTTAAGAGGAAAAGTAGGCTGTGGATCCATGCCACTCTCAGCTCACCCCCTCCAAAGCAAACTGTTAGATTTGAGAGTTTCCAATAAGAATGATTTCCCTTACTGGAAATGTTAGTATTTTGTTTTAATTACTTCAAAGGTAATAATTCGAAACTATAAACACCGCAGTTCCTATTGTAGATATTTTGATAACCCTCGGCAGGCTAACATGCAGTAGGAGTAAGCAGTCTTATGTTTACATAAAATAATATTTATTAGATTTTGTTTTCTGTGTAATGATAATAAACTAGTAATGACATAGCTTTGCATCCCGTGTTTTCAGGGGATCTCCAGCAACACCTACAGGCCATGTTTACACTTCTCCGGCCAGAGGACAACATCCGCTTGGTGAGTATCTTGTGTACATTCCAATGTATTGCATCCTTATCCTCTCTGCTTGTCCTGGCTTCACCAGTTTTCCTATATTACTATAAAACATGGATGATATGTTTTATTTCCTGCCAAGGGCCTCAGAAGTTCCAAATGTTTTTTTTGTTTTTTTTGACTATTCTTTTAGCTGGTATGCCTCCTTTTTAGCTGTATTCCTTTGAACTGGTTAGTCCTCATGGGCAAAACTGTGATGATGGATTATGTAAAGATACATATTCAGATTTAAAGCCTATATTCACCTTTACGGAGGTATTTGAAAAAAGCAAATGCCAGCAATGTAAACTGTGAATGCAGGAAGCAGACTTATGCAGTTGCTGCATATGAACATAGAAACCTACTTTTTTTTTGTTAGCTGACCTCTTCATATCTCATGGCTCCTTTTTGAAATGGCCGCCTCGGTGCTCTGCAAGTAGTCTGTGTCAATTAACTCTCTCTCTCTCTGAGCACTCTCATTGGTATTCGTAGTGGAACCCTATGACACATAGGGAGGGGTCAGCTGTTTACAGCCTGCTTTACAATCTGACCCCAGTGTCAGACTGCGTTTCCTGTGGAGGGAATATTGAAGTTGTTAGAATCTGGCCCACTAAAGTCCATTAAAAAAAAAAAAAGCCACTAATGTGAGTCATGAAAATACACACACATGCATCATGACACCTCACCTCTACATTACCACAATAAATGCTAATCACTAATAATGGTGGAAATTGGCTTTTAATAACAGTTGAGTAATGTTTTGACCATTTGACATTTAATCAGAATTTTCTTAATTCTGAATCAAAGCTTCTAAATGTCATTCAGCTGCATGCAGTGGTTAGCATAGCATAATATACAGGAATCTCTGCCCAAGGGGTGTGCACGTCCATATGGTACACTTTGATTCAATAACAGGCTTTGAAGTTTCGGCCTCTCGTGGGAACTTGTACTGGAGCTGTCACTGAGAGCTGCCCAAGGTTATTTAAAACTGCAAAAGACTGCAGACCTGTCTTCATTGTGCACCGCACCCATCAGGGTTTTCCTGCCGTCTTCTATCTGTACAATACAATGTTCAGAACCAGTTTTATTATGCCTTGATGTCTGTTTTATGTGTGCAGTATACATGTTGGCTCTCACTCTTTCTCTGGAATATCTGTCATTATTCTTATCTTTATTTAGGAGATAACTGGGGAGTTTTTTCTGATAGATTTTCTGGGATGATATAAAGCAGCAGTAGACAGTATTCAGTGGTGTTAGTGGGCAAGGCTGGCAGCCATATTGTGGCCTAATCCACGCTGCAGCCTCTGTTCACCGAGAACACCGGAGCACAAAGCATCTGAGTGCAGAATTCTGTGATGTAGTTCTCGTAGCCTGGAGGTCATTGTTTTCTTTGCATAAGTGATTCCATGCATGGTAATTTAGCATGACTAAGTGCAGGCGGATTATTTGTGTAAAAATGCAGGTTACACAGATTTTGCAGTCCACACGCAGACACTACATACATGTGCCCTGTGTCACAGGCACACATCTGTGATGTAGCCCACTTCTACGTGCAATGTACTGGATCTTTCCTCAGTAATGTCAAGCACACCTCTCCCTGCAGCTTCTCTTCTGTATTGATGGGCACTTCAACTTTCTAGATGAGGAAGTAATGTGTGGGGGAAAATACCACATTTATTTCTGTGTACACTGAAATTCACTGTTTGTGTATTCATCAGGGCAATACAGTTCCAGCATATCTTCATTCTATTTTCTGAAGAAATGTTTGTTTTTAATTAGCACATGCTGCTGATATTACATTTTTTTTGGTGTATCTTTTGTTTAATTTTTGCTTGTATTCTATAGTGTGCTAAAGGAAAACCTGTACTGAGAGAAATGCAATGGATGCCATTTCTGACCTTATGCAAATGCTACTTGCCTGGCTGTCTTTTGGCTTTTACCTGGAACGAGCATGTGGAACAGGAAAGTTAGGATGAAGTCAGAATTCACCATTTGTAAATAAAAGTTACCTCCTTATCTGGCTTTTTATTTGTGTAAATTGAAGTCAGAGTCCTCTAAAGAGAAGGAAGAGAACATTGCATTTATTGATTTCCCCTCCCCCTTCCCTGATTCTTGTTGCTTATAGCTTCTTAATTAGCCTTGTCTTTTTATTCCTCCTCTCTTTTCTACTACTGATGCAAGTCAGCTTCTTGGAATCACAATCCAGCAGTGTGCTTTTTCCTGAAGACTTGGCACTGCTCACTCTGGTGTTCCTGCAGCGTCAGCCCTGACCGGGCACACTTTTAGATGAAGCAAAGCTACAGCAGCTGATGCCTTGCATTGAGTGTGTGGACACAATAGGCTGTAATCCCTGTGGTGTGTCTAGTGGCGCTGCAGATGTCCCCTTTTGATATGGTCATTGTGCAGGAACTTCTCTCTTCCTAAAGATAACACACTTTAATGCATTGTGCAGCTTGTTCCATAAACCCTAATTGGCTTTGTTATCCATGATCATGGTTATCCTGGTCGAGAGTCCTACTGGCATTTTTCTACATGGTGTGATCAATTCGTTGTAGCAGGATTTGTAGATAGTTTACAGCCTGTGTTTTGAATATAGATGCACTGCGTTTTAAATAACACCATTACATATTTAAACCATGCATGTCAGACTGATGGTCTTTGTGCCACATGCAGCTGGCCGTCAATAGGCTGAAAGATGGGCTAAAGCTGACCATACACAAATTTCATCTCGATCTTGAGGAACCTGCGGGAACTTGTTTTATGGGTGGCCCTGTCGGCAGACTCCCGCCCAATATTATTTGATCTAAACATTGTTGGCTGAAAAAGTGACTGCAGCCAATCAGCTGCTGTTACTGTCTGGGTATTCTAACAGCAGTATACCCGCTGCTGCAAGATAGTAGCCCAGTGGGAGAGATTCCTCCATCCATGCTGTTTAGCATGGGTGGAGGAATCTTAACATTTTTTTTCTCCCCGAAAGAAATCTACTAGTATGTGGCCAGCTTTTCAATTATTTGGTCACACTTGCACAAGTGGGTGTGGCCAATCACTCTTTGTGGGGATGGGGCTTACTTCAACTAAACAGGTTGGTAAATCTGCCCCAGTTACTATTGTTTCCCATTAGAAATCAGCAGCATTTAACTTTCACAGGTGCCCGAGCGTGCTTGGATAATGCTGGTACAGCCAAGTACCCTAATGTGTCTGTGGGCACGTTATGGTATTAAGGCCACATTTCATCCATAATGTCATTGTATTATTTAGCATCTTCACTCGGGTTTAAAAAAAAGGTTGCAAAATATTTTTTAATCTCATAATTTGCTTTTGAAATATTGTTTTGTTTTTTTTTGCTTTAATGTCTTTTAAACTTGATAGTGCTATATATTAGTTTTGCAGTTTGATTAACATGCAGAATAGCTATTGCAGCTCCTGAATACCTATACCCATGGAACTTAGAACTTTGTTCCATTTGACTGTGACCAGGATGGGACCTGATGATCAATATTAATTTACTGGTTTAGAGGTCTTATTTCTTTCCATCACACAGAAACCTTTTGCATAGCTTACTATTGAACATCTGCTCTGTTGTTGCTGCTGTTGATTCTTTTTGTGGAACTGCACCTATTTTATTTATGGGTTTGTTCACTTTTTTTTTTTTAGGCCGTGAAGTTGGAAAGCACCTACCAGAACCGTACACGTTATATGGTCGTTGTTTCCACTAATGGAAGGCAGGACACAGAAGAAAGCATTGTGCTGGGAATTGATTTTGCATGCAATGACAGGTAATTATAAGAACATGGATTATTCGCTGTGATCGTTACCATGATAAGGAAATATTGCTTTGACATCATGACACAGGAAGGTAATTTTGTGCGTTCTACAGCAGATCAGATTTTTTTTTTGTAGCTCTCATGCTATTAATCCAGCATTCAGGAAATATGAAGAGGCAAACTTTCTGAAAGATAAAGCAAATTTGTTACTTTCTGTTGATTCCAGTTTACAGATTAAAGCAGTATAAAACTACTTTTGCTTGATAAACGTATGCTACCATGATTAATTATCAGTATTTTAGTTCCATTTATGTAGACTCTGAAGCAGAAAGCTGCATGGAGTCTGGAGCTAGGTTTACACGGCACATGTAGACTTTAAAGAGGACCTAAACTGTAGTAGTGGTGCCAATGCAAGCTAAGGACAAAGCACTAGTTACCAGTATTGTCTGTGATCGCCCTGCAGTTAGTCTCTATCCCAAGGGGTCAGCAACCTGCGGCTCCGGAGCCGCATGTGGCTCTTTCATCCCTCTGCTGCGGCTCCCTGTCCAGGAGTGGAACTACCACCAGGCCCTCGTGGCCTGAGGCTGTGGGGGGGGCCTAGTGAGGTCCGGTCCTGGGCACCCCCCTGGTGGAATATGCGGCAGTGCAGGGTCTATGGTGTGCTCTGCAGGGTCACTCTAGGGTGGGCTCTGCGGGGTCTCAGGTTAGGCCTGAGTCCAGTGCGTTACGAAGCCCACATATACCTATATACATGCTATACATAGCATAATGGTAAAAAACAATATATGCAGTGTTATCTTCATTTTAGATGTCAAAAGGGTTTTGTGGCTCCCGGGTTTTTTTTTTCTGTGGGAAGCGCGTCCAAATGGCTCTTTGAGTGTTTTAAGGTTGCTGACCCCTGCTCTATCCCCAATTACGGAATTACCATGGCACTGTGGCCTGCCACTCTCTCTGCTGAGGCAGTTATCTTAGTAGAGCTGCTCTCTGATGACTAAGGAATAATGCAGCAGCATCAGGAGAGCTGGAAAAAGCACACATTGACAGAATAAGCAAAGTAGAAGCAAGGACGTGTCTTGCACTGCATATCTTCAGGTACAGCTTTCTCTTCAGCAAGGAGAACAGTGAGCAGCACAGCAGTGCCCCCAATCTGGTGAGACTAGCCATCAAAGGCACAGAGCTTAAGATGCACATACCCTGCGGATATACACCTAGGAGGCTTTAGGCACAGGAATTGCATTGCTATTTTTCGGGAGGTATTCAAGACAAAGGGTAGTTTTTTTTTTCAATGTGCTCCTTGGACATAACATTTTTAGATATTCCCTGTAAGATGGCACATACTCTTTGAACGTTATTAGTTCAGGTGACTTCTTCAAGACCCTAATGCTACTTATAATTTATAGTAGCCACCGTCAGGAACCATGGCCTTTCCTTGCTGTAATGTGTTTAAATTACTGAACTGAAAATAAAGGATTTCTGCTCAGGGTAGTAACACGGACTTCTACTTTGATGTATATTTTTGGCAGATTTAATATAAGTACATGTGTATGCTTTAACCAGTCTTGTGACTTCCTCATGTACAATGTAGACCATTCCCTTCTTGGCTTATAATAGGCTCCCTTGTGTCTTGGTGCCAGTTGGATCACTTCACTCTTCAATCATGTGACCCAGCGTAAAAGTGGCGTGATGGTAAAAAGTGTTTGCAGCTCTGTACCCTGCACAAATTTCACGCCTGAAGCTTTTATTTACTTTCTGGATTTCTTGAAGCGCTTTAATGCCTTGAAGTTTTTTTGTTTCCATTTTCCCTGGCAGCTGGAGACTCCCCACTTCTCTACCTCCGCTCCAGCCAGCAGCCAGTGGGAAAAGCAGGCAACTGCTATGCCAAGAATCTCCAGTGCAATGTTATTCATAGCCGCACAGTCTGGTTGCTATGGAAAATATTTCCCTGCTTGTTTTGATACCCCACCTGCGCATGGTGTAATAGCAGCTCCCCTCCTATTTCCTGACACCAGATTGGCACGTGATGTTATGGTCACCAGTGAGAAGAGGCCTCCACCTTTTTCTTTTACCAGAATTCTCAGAAATGGTAATTTACTGCTCTGTCCTCCAGAACTCAGAATTTGTTGAAAAAAAAGAAGAAAAAAAAAAAGGTTCTTTTGTGAAAGGAGGAACATAGCTGGGAGCTGTGCCAAGTATACGTTTACAATGGGCAACAGTGTAAACTCATTTTTCAGCTGTCATAAAATTCTTAACCAAAATAGTCCTTTTTTAATTTATTTATTTTTATCTGGGCGCCATGCAAGTGGAATCCAAGTGCACTTAGTAGTTGTGTCTGTCTAGAAGTCATCCCGGACATTAAGCTAAATTCATACTCTGACTATTGGACTTTGATATTTAGTGGCAAACTTTTATTTTATCAGAAACAAAAGTAACTTCTCACTTCATTAAACAGAATTGTACAGCACAAGTGATGGAGGGTACTACTACTACATCTGGTACCCTTTATCCAGTTGAGGAACTACAGATCCCAGCATCTCCTTGTACTCACTGGTTGGCATGATATGCTGGGAATTGTAATTGGTGGAATGCTAGACGTTCTGTTCTTTCCACTCAGAGACTTGATAGTTGATCTATAGTGGCTCACAAGGGATATTACCTTTTCATTTTGTGTGAAAATTGTACGAGTGTCCGTTTTACTTAAACGTTTGAGTTACTTTAACTGTATTTGTTATCTTCTGATATGTCGTGATAAATACATTTTAAAAAGATGCAATTCTCACACATTTCTTCACATCCCTCCCTTTCTTTCCCTCCTTTTCACTCTCACCTTCTCTCCTTTTCCCCCTCTCTCACTCCCCTCTTACTCTCTTCTCCCCCCTCCTTTCTCGCTCTCCCCTCCTCCTCTCTTGCTCTCTTCCTCCTTCACGCTCTCCTCCACTCTCTCTCCTCCACTCTCTCTCCTCCTCCCTCTCTCCTCCTCCTTCTCTCTCTAGCGTCCTCCCGTCACCCTAAGCTCAGTATACCGCGAGCTGTATACTGAGACGCCGCATTATACCACGAGCTACAGCTTGCGGTGTACTGAGACGCTGCAGCGGAAGCGGATCCCGACAATTATGTCTGGCTCTGCCTATCTAGAGGCAGAGCCAGCTGTACCCTCCCCCGTCCGTTCCGCCAGTCAGCGCTGGAGGATCGGAGGGGGGAATCCAGCCCCTCCCCTGTCACGGCAGAGAGCCGTGACAGGATCGAGAGGTGAGCGAACGCCGGTATGTGTTCGCTCACCTCCCGATCTACTGAGCCGACCTGTGACAGTCTCATTGTCACAGGTCGGCTAGAACTATGAGGTGAGTGAAAAGCACTCGCCTCATAGTTCTCCTTTTTTAAATCCTATTTTTTTTTCCTCTGGTGCGGGTTAGGTCAGTTTTGCTGATCTACAAACCAAGTGCGTGCTTTTTCTGGGTGTAAGTAATGATACACTTGTAGGCTCATCCGTCACATTCTATATTAGCTAGCTTACTGTCCTAAGACTTGGCCAGACTTGTTCCATAGACAAGTTTCCCATAAGAGGGGGAGATGTGCTTTCTGACAGGTTAGCAATTCTAAACGTTTATAGAGTTCCACTTCTGGCACACGGTTCAGGGAATAAGCTCCCAGCATTGTGACAGGTGTGCAGCTGACAATACCTTGTCCCACTCGGAAGATGAAGTAAAGGAACTAGGAGTACTGCTGTTAACTGTTCACCAGGTCATACTTCTACAGCATTCCCCAGCAACTATTAGTTTAGAGATGGTCTCCTCTCCAAGATGACATTTCCTCAAACAATCTGAGACATTAAGCAGTGTGCTGGTGAGCTTGGTGTAATTCTTCCACATCTCTGCAGTAATCCAGTGTGAAACCTGGAGCTTCCTGTAATCAAGACCGCTCACTGCTGCTCTCTTCTTGTGCAGGGTGACTACAGTTGTATCCACCATTGATCTATGTGTTGAATTAAGAGTTTTATTTGTTCAACGCATCTCATCTGTCTGCATACTTAGTTCCATATGCCACTGTCAGCTTGCACGAAGTCCGGCTTACCTCTTTAATAGTATACACCAAGCATAGAGGTGATCTCCATTATGTGTGATGATTGATTCCTTGAGCAGAGAGCCGCTTAGAATGGCCAAGCTGTTTTTAGATCCACAGGTCAAGTTTCGCAGGCTTACGGACCTCAATATTTATGACAAGTTTCTAGGTGGGTTGCTAGGCTTCCTTAATCAGTTCTCACTAAAAATATCCCTCTCACCATGAGATGCCTTGTTCTTTTTCCATCTACTCATCACATTTGCAGGACGCACGACTTGTCAATGACTTCTTCAGGTCAGTGAGGAGGAGATTACAGTGCAAGCGATGGTTGGGTATTTACCCATCATAATGGTTTTCACCTGAAACTTTGCAGACTTCAACAGTAATATCATCAAAGCCCCATTTTACCTTTGTAGATAAGAGGTTATGTTTAAAGGAGAACTTTAACAAAATAATTTGTTTGCAACCATCACACACAAGAGTTATGTAATCAATGGACTGAAAAATGTAACCCATAGCAATAATGCAGCTAATGTCTCTTCTTTGCAATGTTGTATTTTCACATTGCACACATATAAACGTATCAATAGAGAAAATCTGAGGTTGCTATTACTGACTTCTTCTATAGACATTAATTTTTTAGCTGTCATGCTAACTCTGTTCAATACCATGACCTGGAACAAGTCAGTGATGAGGGATTTTACTGATCTCTATGCTTGTTTCTGATGAGTGGAACAGCCAGGCAACTGTCATTTTCAGAAGGATCTTGTGATCCAGGCACACCTGGCAGATGGAACATCCAGTTCTTGGATCTCTCTGTACAGTACGCTACAGTAAACTGATACACCCTGCCAAAAACCACCTAGCCCATGATTGGAAAGGGAAGTATATTGATGGGGACATCCCTCTGCACCCTAACCTACAAGCATTCTCTTTGTGCAGAATTGACCCTGATTGGCAGAATGCTGGGCCACCATTGCTCCCAGTCTGACCATTGCTGTGCAGATGAATGTATGCCACTTCTTTGTAAAAATACATTTAAGAGTCTTTTTAAAGCAGACATCACTGGGTTAAAAGGTATTTCTTCAAACTATCTGCTTAGTAGGTACAGGAATACAATATCTGGCTGATTCGGAGTAAGTGATATTCATTATACCAATATTTTATGTCTGGATCACGTTTCCATTTTCCCAGGTATATAATGTACACTTTTTACATGTATTGCCACTACTTTTGCTCAGATGAACTCTATAAAGTTGCATGTACAGTGTTTTTATTTTTCTCTCATTGCTGATTTATATAACCTATTTCTTTGTTCTTGTATTTTAGCAGTTCCTGTACGATGGGGCTTGTTCTTCCTCTCTGGAGTGATACTCTTATTCATTTGGATGGGGATGGGTAAGATTAATATGATTTTATGACTCATTTTCTTTGGAAACATATTAAACAACAACACTGTCTTATTATAGTTTTTATTACATCGGATCAGCGATATCATCGTCTTGTCTCTTCACTCCTGATAATGTCACTCCTCGTTCGCCAGTCCCTTAAGTGACCTTTTACTGTATCTTAGTCTGTCCCACATACAAGGTTCCAGATGACACTTAACTGTACCCATGTCTCTGAGCACTGGAACATAGCTGAATAAGCAACACAGTTAATTCATTGCATATGTCTCCTAAGCCAGGACCCTTTATTGCTCCTAGCGCTTGATTTTGATTTTTAGTTGTTGAAAATGCATTTTCATAACATTGTAATGCTGAGTGTGTTTGAAGTCAGTGCTTTTATTTAGCTGTTGTGCCTTCTGTACATAAATAACTTTAAACCTTGACTTTACTACATAGGATTACCTCAATTCACTGGAAATAAATGTTTGATTTCATCAAATCTCACAAAAAACAGTAATATATATATATATATATATATATATATATTGTTTTTAAATCAGATAGTATTTATTGGCATTTTTTTACAGTATTATACTTTAACATCAAGTCAGTATTTTGTTTTGTTTTTTAAGAAAACCTTGTACCTGTAATTAAAACAAAGAGGATTCCAACCCTGTCTGTTGACTCTTGCTTTAGCCTTCACTTCTGTCAGTCTTGCTGGAATCATTGGAAGTGTATGTATGACTTTGTATATAGTCAATATCACTGCCTACCAGCTAGGTTCTGGCCACAGCAAAGAGAGGATCAGGTTTCTGTAAGATAAGGGTTAGTTTATGATTATTGTTCCTTTGTTGCAGTGAAACAAAGTTCTCATCATGCTCACCTTTACCCAGCTGTTTTGTTGTTGGAGTCATTTGATAATCTTAAAATTAGAAAGGCTTAAGCTGGCCATACACTGCTCTATTTATTTATTTTTCATTCAACCTGTGGGCTGAGCGACAGAAAATTGAGCAGATTTCTCCATCAACGCTACAAGTGCATTGAAGAATCCCTGCTGCTTGCTTTGTATTCTGACAGTGGCTGGTGGCCGTTGTCAGAATACCCAAACAAAGCAGGCAGCTCATTGGCTGCTGGCTCTGTTCGTACAGAGATTTTCTGATTGGCTCCTTCGATCAGCTGCCGACAATGGCACACACTTTCGGCCGGTTCATCAAATGTCTACCCATAATGTTCATACAAGGTTAAACTGATGCTTTTCCTTGAATCAGCATTTTTGAAACCTTTGTTTTTCCTTGCAACAGAATAAATAATTTCCATCTGTTTGCTTCTCCTAGGGGGTTCAGTGTGTCAACAGATAACAGGGTTCACGTATTCAAGCCAGTGTCTGTTCAAGCCATGTGGTAAGTAAGCTGTGGGCACCAAAGGCTATACAACACAAAGTTGCTATCGGACATTTCGCTCATGTAAACCTATTGTCCATCAGGTCTGCACTGCAAAGCTTGCACAAAGCCTGCGAGGTAGCCCGTGCCAACAACTACTACCCAGGCAGCCTTTTCCTAACATGGGTTAGTTACTACGAGAGTCACGTCAACTCTGACCAGACTTCAGTCAACGAATGGAACGCTATGCAGGATCTGCAGTCCCGTCGCTCTGATTCTCCTGTGCTTTTTACTGATGTGTAAGTTACATGCCATTATTTTTTGGAATTAGACAAACACTGATGCTACAAAACTAAATGTATGCTAGTAAGGCTGAGGTCAGACTGGTGATGTCACTGCTGTCTGCCAATAAAGCACCAAACTGATGCTTGTCTGATGATGGATGTCTTTCCAGGACATGTGGACTTTTTCTGTATCTGTCTGAAACTTTGACACCTTGGAATGAAGACCATTCTATTAGATATTTCAGGGCTTGCCAAAGAAATGCACAGAATAGCATTCTCAAAAAGCATGAGAGATGCTTTACTGAGATGCAGCATGTAGCATCTTTCTTAGACATTATGCCCGCAGATTACACTGTAAGGACATTTGCAGTGCTTTTTAGCAAGTCACAGTGGTGCCAGCACATTACTGCATCAGCCTGAGGCCTTCTGTACACGGGCATTTGTTTGCCTCACAAGTCAGTGGAAATACAAAAGCAAGTCAGAAGGATGCAATACACTGAAAAGGACTTCAGAAGCATCTCATTGTCTGGTGAATTTTTATTGCTTTCGAGCGGTGGGAAGGGAGCCATGAGCTGGAAGAAAGAGGTTGCACAACCTTTATCCTGCATAGGATAATTCTCAGAATCTTCCTAAATGCCAGCTAAGTGCACCTGAAAGCATTGCTGCATTTGCCAATCTACTGAAGGCGCATCTTTTGCTTAGACCTCTACTTCTATTGTGTGAAGCTCACATAAAATACATAGAGGAGCCAGCATCTATGAGCGCTCTCTCTGGATGATTGAAAGAATACATACCAGCCTTCCAAAAGTCTTGTTTCTCTTACAAGCAAGCATGGTATAGACTGTCTTTTCACCCTAACAAAGTTGATCTTTGAGCTCTCCGCGCTGCAGAAGTAGTTCCTAAGCTGGCCATACCCTGTGGTTTCTCTCATTCTGCTTTGCAGGCTAAATGAATATGACCTTACATTTGCAAATCAGTGGTTTTAGTGGCCATTTTAGTGATTCATACTCATTCGAACTTTGGAGATGAAAAAAATCTGTGTTTTTAATGCAATTTGAAGAAAAGCACTCCCAGGTACAACATAACATACTGATTCTGTATTGGACTCACTGAATTTTCTCATCAGAGATGCACTGTCCCAGAATCACTGTCCTCTCTCTCTCTGCTGAATAGTTGAGCTATTTTTGCAGTGGGCGATAAGGCCTTGGGAATCAAGGTTAAAGGAATGCAAGGGCGATTAGCTTCTTTTCAAAGCCATAAATGGATTTGGATGATCGTGACCCGGGAAAGGTAGCAGGGGACACATGTCCAATTTTGAGGCAGCCATGAAAACATTGAGGGCTGCTGTCTGAATCATGCAGTGTTCATATACATAGGGAATGCACACCTCGTACCACCTGTTTCTGTGATAACACATTGCAAAACATGCAGGGAGTTAACTGCTATCATTTTGTCTCTACAGACCGACAGAGCGAGAACGTACAGAACTCCTAATTAAAATTAAATTAAGAGAAATCATGATGCAAAAGGACCTGGAAAATATAACATCTAAAGAGGTGAGCAAAACAGAAATACTTTTTCTGTATCTGTCTGAAACTTTGACACCTTGGAATGAAGACCATTCTATTAGATATTTCTAATTCTTTCCATTCCTATGAATGTCAAGTGCCAGCTATAACTGGGCACCTTGCCCAGGCCTTAGTTGCTGTTCTTGAGGAGTGGTGGGGCACTAGAGGAGAAACTTCTTCATATAGGATTGTGCTAACACGCATAGTGGTTTATGTATAGCCCCACCTGCTCCTATCATGCAAATGGGATTCTGCACATACTGTGAGCATGTGACGTTTTAAGTGATAGCTCGGGTTGGTGCAATACTGCTGCTCTTGCACACATGTAGCAGAGGTCCTCTCTGCAGCCTGCTGCTACCGTAGTTGAAATCCATTGCAAACCGCAGTAATTTCAAAATTTTGTTTGACCGCACCCTCGATTTGTACTCATCCGTTTTACCCCATACATCAATTGGACTTTATTATCAGTAGTAATATAATGTGTTTGTGTTCAGGGAACTAAAATAACACTGCACATGCTGGTGGGAGATGTCCAATACTATTGTGTGTTGCAAGTTTAATTTGAGATTAGCCTGGGCTGTAACTTATGTGTAACATTATTTTTTATTCTTACAAAAGCGCTTTATCTATTTAAGCTGCGTACATTGCAAGGATTTTGGATTCTTAACTGCTGTTTGCTGTTATGAAGAAAATGCAGTTTTTTTTACTTGGTATGCTTTTTCAGTCTGATTTCTGATTGGGAGTTTCAGCATTCATTTTCAGCACTCTGCACAATCTAAATTTTTTTTTTTGTAATACCCCCCCCCAAATATCTTTTTCAGGGTCTTTTCCTTAAAGGAGTGATATTGGCCTGTGTGTGTGTGTCCATTGTAGGATTTCTGTCCTGTATGATTAGTTATATCCATATACTGTATGCTTGGAATATATCCGTTTACCAGAAATCTTAAAGGAGAACTATGGGTTCAGGGCTTTTCCCCATAGTTCTCCTTAGGGTAACGGGAGGACACAAACTAGCGTTCTCCCGTTACCCTACGCTCTGTATACCGCGAGCCACAGCTTGCGGTATACTGAGACGCCGGAGCGGATCCTGACATTGATGTCGAGATCCGCCGAGCTGCGTGACTGACAGCTGGCTCTGCCTATCTAGAGGCAGAGCCAGCTGTACCCGCCCCCTCCCCCGTCCGTTCCGCCAGTCAGCGCTGGCGGAGCGGGGAGGGGGGAATCCAGCCCTTCCCCTGTCACGGCAGAGAGCCGTGACAGGATCGAGAGGTGAGCGAACGCCGGTATGTGTCCGCTCACCTCCCGATCTACTGAGCCGACCTGTGACAGTCTTATTGTCACAGCTCGGCTAGAACTATGAGGGGAGTGAAAAACACTCCCCTCATAGTTCTCCTTTAAGGGCTAGTTCACACCAAGCACGTTCCAGGAGCAGAGCAGTTACAGAACGGATCAAAACTGCGTCCAATGTATTCCAATGGTATTTTGGGCCCTAGTTCACACCGCAACGTTCAGTTCCAGAGCATGTAAAAAAAAACTGCAGCAAGCCCTATTTTTCCTGCTCTGGAACGCATGCAAACACTTCAAAAATGCATGCAAACGCATCAAAAATGCATGCAAACACCCTGTGACGCACTAAAAAACCCATTTTAGGCTAAAAAAAAATCTTTTTTTTTTTTTTTAACAAAAACGGCCTAAAACGCACAGCAGAAACTCATGCAAATCTGGTCTGCATTTGGTGTGAACAAGCCCTTAAAGCAACCCTAGCCTGTGTTTATACTACCTATTCATAAGCTTTATCTACTTAAAGAAGCATGCTCCATTCTACTAAGACGCTTTCCTTCTTCCTAGATCCGGACAGAGCTTGAAATGCAAATGGTGTGTAACCTGAGGGAATTCAAAGAGTTTATCGACAATGAGATGATTGTCATCTTGGGACAGATGGATAGCCCCACTGAAATCTTCGACCATGTGTACCTGGTAAGTTTCCTGTTAGATCTGCACTGAGTGTTCTCATCTATCTCGCACTGTGACGCTTTGTGTGTTCCGACACGAAATGCAGCAATGTTTGTCATGTCAGAAATGTATGCTCTATCATCCGCCAGCATTTCTCAGGGTATTGCTTTGTTACAACAGAAATTTCATTTCACTTTGTGAAATGATCCCAGGTAAAAGCAACTTCCTTTATTCAGAACCGTATGAAGCCATTCATGGTGTTTCTTCATGCAGTGACGTCTAACAGATTTGGGGAAGTGGTTTCATTGTGTGGGAATCAGGGCGGTTACTGTAATAGAAAGTTGGGCAATTCCAGGTGAATCTCAAACTACATAGAACTGTCTGGTGTCTAATGGAATTGAAGCGGTCTGCTGTACCTGCCATTACTCCTTTCTTCAGCTTGAAATCCCGAGAAGCCTAAAGAAACTCTTCTGGTCACAAAATAGCTAGTTGGCATTTCCCTTTTAATCCAGAAATTCAGGTGTTTGGCATTAACAAAATTAACCCTTACAGTGGTGCTACCCCCGCACTGCAAGGGTTAACTGCTCATCTAGGGGCTTGATTAAAGAAGATATACTTACCGTGTTTCCCCGAAAGTAAGACATCCCACGAAAATAAGACCTAGCGCTGATCCTCGGTCCTGCTGGCTCCATCCAGGCTGCTAGACAGGTCTACACAGCCTCCTCTTCCCTGTGCTCCGGCGGTCTAAGCCCCATCTAATGCGATCCATTCACCTGCATTAGATGTGAGGACACACTATGGCCGGATGGTGGAGAGAGGCGAGTGCTGACTGCTGCAGGACGGAGGATCAGGTGAGTATATCGTCCGGCCCCTAGACCAAAAGGAACAGTTAACCCTTGGAGTGCGGGGGTAGCCCCACTGCAAGGGCTATTTTGGGTAATAGCTGGGGTTCTCTTTAAGCTAGCTTAGGATATGATTTCATATGTTTGTTTACCAATTTATTTTTAACCTCATTGTTAGTCTTTTGAGTATTCATCTTTAACCCAGAGAGTTCCCCGGTTTAAGCACGATTAGAGCTTAGTGTCCCATTAAAGGCTCCAGGGTAATATCCCTTTCCATACATCCATATTAAAGGATTTTTAACCTACAGATTGTTTTTGTGGTGAAATGTTCTGTTTCCACGGCTGGGGACAGAGGACATGATGTAGGCAGCTCTGGTCTTTTCTTCCCTTTGAAATGGAGGAACCCTGTGGCTTGTTTTATCACTTCAGAGTGCAGGAAACAGGGGCAGCATTTGGAAGCAGAGAGAGAGGTTAATGGCTGATGACCCACTTTGGTCTCTGGGGATGGGAAAGTGTTTACTCTGCAAGGACACTGATCCGCAGGTCCAGTAACAGGAGGATAACGAACGGCACAAAAATCAGCAGGCTTTGTTGTACAAGGAAAGATATCTTCAAAGCTAAACTCTTGGGGAGGGGGAATGATTTCTGGCAGGCGCTAGAACTCCCGGTGGGGAACAGCCCTCTGCCCAATGAAGTTTGTTCCAAAGCCCACTTCCAAAATACGAGTGGTACCTCTGGGGAGAGAAACTGAGTTTTGCTAAACAAAATTAGAGGAAGCCCTGAGATCAGCAAATATGCAATGACTGTACATTACCATAGCACGTGCACTTCCCTCCAGCTTTACAGCAGAGCTTGGCAAAACTACAGGGAGCTTTTTGGCACACTTATCCCAGACTGGGATTTTTCAGCCCCAGGGCCATTTTCTGGTTTAGCAGATGAGGAAACTGCGAATGAAACAGCAAGTGCCTCGGAGCTATCACAAGTCTTAATGGTGACCTGACATTGGGAGACGCTTGTATTACAAGGTCAGGACACTTTCTGGGCCGTGCTTATGTTTTCTGAAGCATTTATTACACTGCATCTAAACCCAAACTTATAACATTACAGGGGCATATGAAATATCATGCATGATTTATGTCCTGCTTAAATCAGGTAGACACCTGCCCTTCAGCGGTTGTGGAACTACAAGTCCCATTTGCAAGACTGGCAGTTACAGGCATGAATCCCAGAGGCAAAGGCATGTCGGGATTTATAGTTGTGGGACAGTTTGAATGCTGCAGTTGCCCACCCCTGCTGTAGATGATCAGCAAGAGTGGGCAATGTTTGGAATGTCAGTAGGCAACTTTTGGATTTCACATTTCATTGATCAGCGTAGCTTGATATATTTGGATGGCTCAACAAGTTTATTATTTTCCTCAGAGACTGGAACTTGAATCATGTTTACACCAAGGAACTCTGCTTCATCCATAGGCTGCATTTGCTAATCTCTTCTCTTAGTTGCTTGGCTTCCATCCCAATCAAAGTGGTTTTATACTTTTTGTATTGCTGATCTAGTAAACATATCAAATCAAATCTGCGGGGTGCTTGTTCTTGGTCAGTGGCTGAAAGTATTGAAGACGGGGACAGCCACGAAACTAGTATTTTCAGAAGGATGCTAGCGATGGCAGCTTCTGTTTCTCTCAGTACACTTAGATTGACGCGGTAGTTTTTCTAAGCACGTAGCATTACAATACAATATAATCTTTATATGCATTTTTTTTTAGTTCTTTTATATGCTTTTTTGTTCGTCTACACCACCAGTACGCATACATTAGGGGCCCGTACTTCATTATACTGTGCAGCTACACACTCTGCACATAGAAGTGTGAAGATAACGTTCATGTGAATGGTACCATTTACTACCATTACTGTTATTTATATACCAAGGCCTAATATTATACAGATGTAAATGATACTGCACATTGACCGCAGCATGTACACCTAGTATAAAGAAGGCCTAATAATATACAGATGTAAATGTTAGAGCTATCCTCAACAACCTAGACCAGGGGTAGGCAACCTTGGCACACCAGCTGTGGTGAAACTGCAAATTCCATGAGACATTGCAAGACTGACAGGTACAGGCATGACTCCCAGAGGCAGAGAGATGATGGGAGTTGCAGTTTCATCACAGCTGGAATCTCTAGGTTGCCTACCCCTGACCTACATGAACTTGTTTACCATGAAGAGCTTGTCAGTTGTCATGTAATGTGTTGCTTTATTAAGTGCACTTCCCATGTTTATACCCAAAACTGATGTACAGCCCTAAGGGTCAATGAAAGTCCAGCATGTGTTGTAGATTATGCTATCAGAACCTTCTGGGAAACCCCCAACATTCTATCTTGTCCTCATTACTCTAGAACACATCAATGAGATGAAACACAGTTCTCGGATAGCAGTCACTTTGTTAGGATCAGTAAATCCTACGTCATAGAAATGTGGTGTGATCAGTGAGCCTGTCATTCGTTTAGCCTTTTGGAAAGAAAGTACACAGGATTGTGTGTGTTGGGAACACTCCAGGATGCAGCCCTGAGCCACCTTCATCCCTAAATACACATCCTGGTGCTTTCACCTAGTCCTTCATGTCCATGATTTGCAAACTGCTTTTTCTTACCTCTCCTATGAGATCTGTGAAGACATGAACTTCAGAACCGGGGGTGTACCTGGTTTGACAGGTTGTCCCGTCAACCCCCCTCCCACGGCCCTGGGAAGGGCCATTCAGAGGGGTCCAATTACACCATGGAGAATGAAGTCATCTGTTTGCTCTTATGCTAAGGTTCTGTGTGTTGCTTTAGCTTTACCAGGTCTTTTGTCAAACAGATTACATTTACAGAGCTGTAACCCTTTCAGTCACTTGTAAATGGGACACACTTACACATATGCTGCAAAATGCGGTTTTTTTTGGTCGATATTACTGCATGAGCTCACATTTTTGTGCATTCTATGTCTACATTTTTTGTTCGGAGAAAGAAACTTAGAAAATATGAATGTTTCATAGTGCTGATCTGTCAAAAATGCACAAACCTGCATTATGCATTTTGAATGCTTATTTTATATTTCAATGGATCTGCTGAATACAGATACACCTATAAATGCAGTATGCCCTTTACTTTAAAAATACTAAGCTGCAGAGCATGAGCGTAATCTGGCCACATGGTAATGATTCACAGTTCTTCTTGAGATGCATTATTATCCAGTGAAATGCATGTGTTTACCATAAGCGAACAGTCAAGTGTGAACAGTCCCATTCAGCAGCTCAAGACCTTATTGATGAAATCTGTGAGAACTGCCGGTGTTTATGGTTAGAATTTCATACAGACGTTCATATGAAAGATCTCATCAGAATGTTCAATAATGCTATCAGAGACTTGATTGTCGTCATTTTGTTTGATATTAAAGTTATATGAAAGCCTTTTTTTTTTTTATTTTTTTTTTATTTCTCCTTTAGGAGACCCTCCTTTGCTGGAGGATGTTGCTCTTTTTCTTTAAAAGTTTCTAATTCCTTGTTTTCTAGTGGCTCCCCACAACGCTTTTCCCCCCACCCCCTGCACGGGTGCCACCATCGTTCTAGTGGAGGCACCGGTGCGCGCTCGTGCCCCCTCGTTCCGGCAGCGGCCATAGGCACACACAGCCCTGTGGCAGGCCACGCCCCTTCCCTGTTTGATGGCAGAGGAGCCTTTGGCTCCTCTGCCGGGGACGAGCGCGGCTGACAGGTAAGTGTGGGGGGTACTGGGGTAGAAAAAAGGTGCTTGTCCGTTTTTACCCTAATGCAAAGAATGCATTAAGGTAAAAAAAACACCCAGACCTTAATACTACTTTAACATTCTATTTAGGAATTATTATTTTTTTGCATTACTACAGTTGAAATCTACAGTCTGTTTGATCCCATCAACTATTAGAAAAGAAAGTACAAACTTCTAACCGTGTGTACCCAGTACAGTATAGAGAAGGCAGAATGTAATTGCTGCAGGTTATTATTGACCATTCCGATTTCAGACGTTTTGATAAATGAAGAGAGGTGCATTTTGTGAAATCATTTGCTAGTCATCCGTAATGTATGCAAGCAGAAGTGTTGACTGCCAAGCCCCGAAGTGCCATGACACTGGTAGATTTCTTCAAAAGTGCAGCTTTCCCGTGTTCTATGCCCCTTCTTGGAAGTGAACCTCCCCGCTGATTAGATAATTGAAGTGAGATCATAAGCAATTTCAGAGTTGTCTTGTAGTAAAAGACTTTGTGATTTTTACAAAATGCGTTTTTTTGTTTTTTTTTCTGCAGGGCTCAGAATGGAACGCTTCTAATTTGGAAGATTTACAGAACAGAGGGTAAGCGAATGGAAGAGTTATTTAAAATGAGCCTCTGAGAGTTTGTGGAAGGTTATCTGAACCTCTTCTGTTCAGTTTCATGTACACAGATTCAGTTCAAAATGCTCAACTACATTACATGGTGTGAAACACACCTGGTGGTTTGTGGCTTCTCAAAATTTTGTTTTGTTCTAGTTTGAGAATGTCATTAACTTCCTGTAAAGTGATTTCTGAGGGTTACAGTCTTTTGAATGTAGCCATATTAATCCTTATGTCTGGGGGGAAGAACTGGATAATGCAGACCGATTCATTACTATTGGAAGAAATACAAACACCATTTCATTTTTTCAGCCATAATTTTCCAGTGCAGGTTTGTATCTGATTTGTAACTTTAAAAAAAGTGACTTTTTTTTTTTTTTGCTGCATGGCAGCGGTAGCCAAACTCTTGCTGTATGGGGATGGCTATATTCCCCGTTAAGGACTAGGTGCTACAATCTGGTTTGCGTTGGGATATTGGGATTTTTTTTGAATGTTTGCTCATCACCTGCATAGAATATGCCATGATGGTTAGTGGCAAATTCCTTTCAAAAATCTATTTACTGCTCTTGACATCCATTCAGAGTTCTGGAAGTGTTAAGGTGCCCATACACCTTACAACCATCGCAAGGCTTCTGTCTTGCGATGGTTGTAAGCTAATTAAAAGCTCGTACGATCTGTCCTTCTTGGACAGGCAGATCGTACTTGCGATAATCGCAAGCCCGCCCCGCTGAGGGGCGGACTTCCGATGACGGCAATGCTGAGCGGGCAGTGTGCGCATGCGCACACCAGCCCGTTCCGCAGTTGTCGACCGAGCACGCCACTGACCCGCCGACAATCGTATGATTCTTGGCGGGTTTTCTAGCATGCTTGTTCGACAAAAGACGTGCGACCGTACAGTAGAAACGGTCGCACGCCTTCCATAGACCTTACTATTATCGTACGATCGCGGGATTGCCCGCGATTATCGTACGATAATCGCAAGGTGTATGGGCACCTTTACTGTGAAATCCTTTCTCTGTCTCTGTACATAGAGGGCCCAGCAGTGTGATGTCAAAATAGCGCATATTGTCATTTTTATTTGCGCAACAAAAAAGTTATCTCTAATGCATGTTCCTGTGGAATACAACATATGCATCTGATAAAGGGGCAATTCCTGTTTATAGGTGTACCTTCTATTGGCTAAACATTTTTTATGACTTGAATGATAAAATCCATGTTTTTATTATGTAAATGTCCATTATCGCAAATATATGTACACATTAGATTTAGCCACACAAGGGAAGCTCTAGGCTGTGTATATGACTGAGGTCCTGTGGTTCAGGCAGCACAGCCTGCTCATGGACCTCTCTGAAGATTATCCTGCAGTTGAAGATGAACTCTAAGCAAACTGCTAAATCAGTTACAATACATATGTGAGCTGTTTTTTGTATTGTGTATTTTTGTTCATCCCATTTTGGCATTCACACAGACCTGCTAGACTGCACAGCTAGATTGGGGACCTCACTTTCTGCTACTGCAGTTAAACAATCCTCTCCCCCATCTTGTGGTTTGACAGTGCAGGAGTAGAGCAGAATGATGAGTTAACCCCTCTGCTCACTCTCTTTTTACACACAGCAGCACACCTTAGTGGCTCTTCCCTCCTTCCAGTCTCAGTTTTACTATTCACAGAATTGTAATAGCCCCACACAAGGTGAAATTCAGGTACTAGTAGAATTTAAAAATATATTTCGTGATTTTTAATGAACACATAACGACATTCAGTGGTACTACTTATAGCTGTCTGGCGTAGAACTTAAAGGAGAACTATGGGGTCAGTGTTTTTCCCCATAGTTCTCCTTAGGGTAACGGGAGTACACAAACTAGCGTCCTCCCGTTACCCTAAGCTCAGTGTACTGAGACGCCGGAGCGGATCCCGACGTAGATGACGGGATCCGCCCAGCTGCGTGAGTGACAGCTGGCTCTGCCTATCTAGAGGCAGAGCCAGCTGTACCCTCCCCCGTCCGTTCCGCTAGTCAGCTCTGGCAGATCGGAGCGGGGAGAGGGGAGTCCAGCCCCTCCCCCTGTCACAGCAGAGAGCCGTGACAGGATCGAGAGGTGAGCGAACCTGGTATGTCCTCCCGATCTACTGAGCCGACCTGTGACAGTCTCATTGTCACAGGTCGGCTAGAACTATGAGGTGAGTGGAAATCACTCATCACTCATCTCATAGTTCTCCTTTTAATGCTTGCCTGGTTCAGGACCTTCTGTGGCCCATGACTAGACAGCGAAGGAGCAGCAGCACACTGAAGTCATCTCTGTGCTCTCCTTTCTTTCCTGCAAGCTGTAGAGCCTCTGATTTGCTGAGAATTCTTACCCTCCCTCTCGCTGTGCTGGGAAGTACTGGAGGCTGGCATTAATGATAGATTTATGGTGTGTACGTTGGAAATATAAAAACAATATCTGGCTAGATTAATTGGTGTTTTTCTATCTGCCTGGAGCTCAGCCTTCATATCCCTGCTGGTGTTGAGCTTCATATTTAAGTATGTTTTCTCTTCTCTCATGTAAACCCTCCAGAACATAGTTTGTTTTCATTTTTGCTCTCTGCATAATAATGGAATCTGCTGTTTTGTCAAGCCACAGACTGGTTTGGCTACATAGTCATTTGTGTTTACCTCGGCTTTCTGCCATATGCAGGGGGAGAAAAGCACTTGAAACCTCAGTTTCCTAAATTCTAGTCCTGCATTTTTGGGTTGCTTTATCACATTCCCAGATGGCAGATCAAAATGATATTTATATATATATATATACATACACACACACACACACACACACACACACACACACACACACACACACAGTACGGAAGGACACACCGCCTGTTCAACCGATGATTTATTTGGGGTCAGTAACCATTCACTTTTCCCCTCTTATGGCTTTCATGGCAGAATTTGTAAGGTCTGACTCTTAGACTCACAATATTGTAAATGAGGGTGTTGTTTTTATTACATTGTCAGGAAAAATACATTTTACAAGCAAACCGATACATGGTTTTGTCATTAAAGTTGCCAAAGCATATAAAATCAAAAGCTGCAGGGTACATTACAGAACCACATACACATCTACCTTCAGCACACAGCAATAAAACCGAAAGGCCTAGGCATATAGCAATATATACCAGCCATAGAAGACAAAGGAGGGGAAGGGGAAGCATTTGAGGTTTCATTAAAATGTCTCTTGCTAAATTCTGATGACCATCTAAAATATAGATGTGCAAACAAATCAATTTATCTTTTTTTTTTTTTTTTCTTTTCCTCTTTCCTTAAACAGGGTCAGGTACATCTTGAACGTTACACGTGAAATTGATAACTTTTTTCCCGGAGTGTTCGAATATCACAATATCCGAGTATATGACGAGGAAGGCACTGATCTACTGGCTTATTGGAACGATGCATACAAATTCATCTCTAAGGCAAAGTTAGTACATCTCTTGATTGTATCTGCTGTGTGATATCATTGTGATTTGTGTGTATGGATGGTTTCAGTATTGACATGGCAGACTGGGGAGTACGCTCTTTTAAGGTTATTTTAGAGCAGCCATTTTGCAGAAGTCACAAAATGTAACTGCAGTCAGTAATCTGCATCACAGAAATGCAAGCGTTTTGTAGCTCAGTTTTTGAGAAATTTACTTTTTGCCGCGACTGAAGCCAAGGACAGAATTGCCAGCTTCAATAGCTAATGTTTTTCAGTACAGGTGCTGATGACCATGGCACACTAGCGATTTTGTTGCTGCCTAAATACACATTGTAGTGGGCTACAGCATTAACTTCATCCAGCTACAAATTACCCCCCCCCAAAAAAAATAAGCACAGAAACTTGAAGATGCTAAAATGTCAAAGAGTTGCTAGTGTGTTATCACCCAGGTGAGGGAACCACTTTGCACAATGGAATCGCTCCCTTGCTGGCCCAGGGAGCTGCAGAAATTCACTTGCTATTAAGTGTTGGGACTAGTCTGTCAAGTAAAGAAGCAGCCCCATAGCAAATCGAAAATGGTTGCCAATCATTAATCTGAGATGTCCCTAAAGCTGCCTATTATGCTGTAATATTTTCTGCTTTAAACCTGCGCGCTGAACAAAGAAAATAGAACTGATTCCTTCATCAATGATTGAGGATTCTCCCGCTGCCTTCATTGTATTCTGAATACAGTGTTAGAATACCCAAAAAGAGCCAGTAGGTGATTAGCTCCTGGCTCTGTTTGTTCGAAGATTTTCCGCCGACTCCTTCGATCAGCTGAGAACCAGCCACCATTTGCATAGTGTATGGCCATCTTGAGGATGACAGAAACAATTTGATACTTGCGTTATGCTTTCTGCCATATCTGTAGGCTGCTTTTTAATGTGCTTGCAGCTATGTGCATGCACCTCTTGGTGCCTACACTTTATACCTACAGCAGAAACTCTTTAGGTTGACCCCAAAGAAAGAAATGAAGGCTGCTGACAAGTTAATTCCCTGTCTGCCAAGCATGTTGGCAGTGAAATCAGTAGTCCCAAGCTGCATAAATTATGTTCAGTTGGCCTGGGCCGACTACACCAGGCAGGTAGGCATAATGAAGGGAATTTATCAAAACTGGAGCAGCTGTGCATGTCAACCAATCGGCTTCTCTTTCATTTTCAAATCTTAGCTGAAGAGAGATGCTGATTGGTTGCCATGCACAGCTGCTTCAGATTTTTGTCTGCTCCAGTTTTGATAAATTCCCCCCAATGTGTTTTCAGGGCTGGTCAAAATGAGCTCCTAATGAGCAGCCTGGTTTCACAATCCTGGAATAAGGGCAGTAGGTGCAGCAGCCCCCAGATACCAGGCAGGGGTCACTCCAATTAATGGCGGCATCTAAGTGAAGGCAGCGGCTGCCCTTTTAAATAAAGACTTTTATTGTTACTGGAGACGTCTGTAAAGCACAATTTGTAAGTGGTTTCCATCTGGCACCACAGTTTCCAGTCAGGATCTAAATCCATGAGTCCTGATTTATGTGTGCTGTGTAATAAAGAAGTATTAATTTGTGGAGTTGGCACAGATTCTTTTTATTTCTTCTGCCCTTTCTCGGGATTTTGAACTCTAGATATTATTTATTTTTATTTTTTTCACATCTGACCTTTGGATGATATCTCAGAATGTGTTTGTGTCCTGCTGTCCTCAAATGGGAGGAAGAGTTCTCATCTCCTTGTTGACACAACAGTGACAGATGTATTATCACAATTTCAAAACGCCGCAACACGTGGCTTTGTGTGTGTTTTTGCTGAGGAGCTGATGTATGTGGAGGTGAAGCGCCCTCTTGTGTTGACTGAGTATAAAAGTGACCCTGCTTTGTAAGGCCAACACTAGAACTCTTCCAGCAAACTGATGGCAATTACATTTACACTACAAGTTCTAGATTATGACTTGGAGGATACATGTGTGAATTTGGTTGCTATTGGTTGGCTGAAACAGGTTTTGTACATCCCCCAAATCAATAATTTTGTGTTTTTGTTCTAAACTGTTTGCATTTATGTTAAAAGACGTGTTATTAACTGAGTTTTCTGCTTCTCCTGTAGGAAACATGGAGCTAAATGTCTAGTGCACTGTAAAATGGGAGTGAGCCGCTCCGCTTCCACTGTGATTGCTTATGCTATGAAGGAATACGGCTGGAATTTGGACAGAGCATTCGATTATGTGAAGGAGAGACGCACAGTAACCAAACCTAACCCTAGTTTCATGAAGCAGCTTGAGGAATATCAAGGCATTCTGTTAGCAAGGTGGGCATCTTTTCTGCCTTTAGGCTATGTTTACACTAGTGTATAACCTATATTTAGGCAAACGCATTGTTATTTTCCACTAGATCCCAGTTAAATGGCTTATTTGAAAGTTTGACTCTCTGAATGGCTAACTCAGCTGTGTCTAGTTGACATTTACAATCTAAAAAGCAGCAAGATTTACAGCACCATTAACCTGAAATAAGTTACTGCACATTAAAAGATGTAAACTTCATAATTGTGCAAAAGTCTGTTCTGTGCAGAAAATGTCGGTGTCTGTCAATGCTGGCACCCTTTTTAGGGTGCTTGCAGTTGGTCTTCACTCTGTGACAAGGAAAAATGCAGAGAGGAAGGATAAGACAAAAGAGACCCTCATGGTGTATTAACTATAATAACTGTATTAGCTGGAAAGAAACCAGTAGGGATTGATACTTTCCTCTAAAGAGGTTGCAGGAGACCAAAAAGTTTCTGTAACCTAAGTGATAGCTTGTGGTGAATGTCTACCCGCAGACCTTTATCTTTTGAGGAATGTTACATGTGGACCTTCATCTTTGATTTGTGGTATGCTAGGGAAAGGACCTTGACTTTATAAGTGGTTTGGTGCTGATGCAATAGTAGAAATGCCAGAAAGTATAAAGCGGATGCCCATAAAACCCTATACTGGTTAAATGGGGATCATTTAACAGTTTAAGCTTTTTCTGACCTAATTTATAGACCTTGCGCCATCCCAGCTGCTTTCTGGGAAACATGTTTTTATGAGTGCCATGTTTTTTGGGAACACTTTCTTACACCACTTGCAGTTGGCCATATTCGGCTACGTGATTGCAAAACGCGTTGGTGTTGGGGAATATCCCTCTACTTTAAATTTTTAGATTCTAATCTATTGCAATTCACCAAGCTCATGAGACACAAACCTTTATCTGGGGCATACACCAACCTTTAATATGATAACCAGTCAGTTAAGAAATATTAAGTGTCCATTATTCTTTCCCAGGAATAAATAATCTGATACTAAATCTCGATCTACAGCTGGAAGAAAAGCAGCTATCTGTATTTCATTCACAGTAGCTGTGCGTCTTTACCTGTCCTCTTCAGCCACTCTGCACACAAATGGTACCCCGTCATGTTTAAGGCAGGGGTAGGCAACCTTGGCTCTCCAGCTGTGCTGAAACTACAAATCCCATAAGGCATTGCAAGTCACAGGCATGACTCCCAGAGGCAGAAGCATGATGGGATTTGTAGTTTCAGCACAGCAGGAGAGCCAAGGTTGCCTACCCCTGATTTAAGAAATATAAAGGTGTGATCTTGTTACGCAATTAAGGCCAATATGAGTGTCCAAAGAACATGTCTTATCTTTCATGAGTAGTCAATCCTTGCCTCCTCCCCCCTCATGGGTTCACCAGCATTGTGCAACTCTAATAATCCATTGGCCACTTGCTACTCTTTATTTCTGTTGCTGTTTGAGGAGCCTCAGGGTAGTCATCTAGCAACAGCTGTTGGGCTGTGAGTGATTCATGTGTTTACCCATGGTCCACGTGGCTTTTCTGCAATTTGCATAACCCTAAATCTGTTTATGGGTAGATTTGAGAACATAAGTCAAAAAGGGAATCTTTTATTGGTGGTTAAATCTTTTTAAACCTTTAGGTCAGACATAAATGACACAATCCTTTCCTGTCCCAACAGACTAATGCAACCTTTGGAAGAGGGTTGCTATGCCTTGGTAGGGGGAAATAATGAGCTCTTTAGTATCGGAAGTATTCATTGTTAGCTCATTGGAAAACCTCTATGCAGCAGGCCCGATTCCTCCCTCTTATCAATGAGTGTTAACCTGGGCGTGAAACTGTGACGGATCTGGACAAAGATGAGCAGATATCTCTCTGACCATTGTTCTTGGGTAGATATCTGTACATCTTTTGCTATCCTTAATATTCAAGTGAAGTCTTTCAGTAAAGGTTTGAATCGGTTTACTTAAGGACAACCTGAAAACAATGAAATATGGTAAGTGTTCATCTTCCATGTAGCAGCATATTAACCTTTCAGCCATCAATGTCCAGAGCATGTTGGAAAGTGAAGTGCATCTTCAGTAAACTACTTGCTGTGTTACAGCAGTTTGCATATAGCCTTTGTGCTGTCATATTATAAATTACTAACAGGCTTGTAGTGTTTGTCAGTGGAAAAGTGTGCCATGCCAGCTTTTATGTTCTTGTGTGGATAAGGTTCACTGTGTATCCATGCATTCTCTGAAAAGGTCATCCTTAATGTGACAAATAAAACAGCTGTCTCTGGGTAGTGGGGATATATTCATATGATGCTGTCCACATTTCATATTGCCTTGTTATGTGCTCTAGCCAAATCCTGTTCCAGACACTCTGTGTGTTTTAGTCATTTAAAAAAATTTAATATTTGTAGCGCAACACCCTCACGTGGTGTCATTGTCATCAGTTACATCCCATCCTGATTAGTTTACACACAAAAAAAAAAAGTTCACATATAAAAACACAATGCATGGAAATCACAGGGTTAGTCGGCCCAAAACAGATTTCATTTAAACCACCCCGTGTCCAATTTTTAAATATTTGGTTAAAGTGAAAACGATTTATAGCAGGGGTAGGCAAACTCTGGCCCTCCAGCTGTAGTGAACCTACAAATCCTATCATGCATATTTGTTTTCCGAAACATGAAAGGAAATAGGAGTGCCCAAAGGAACTAGCTTACGTGTGCACACAGGGAGAACATTTAAACTCCAAGCAGATATTGCCAATGATCAAACCTTTACTTTACACTGCAAGAGTGCTAATAATCAGTGCCCAATGTTATCCACAGATCTTAGAACTTCATGGGGGAAAAAAGTTTGCCTTTTTAATAAGTGCATGAACAAAATTGTTAAATATATTATTTTTTCTTTATAATATTCCCTTCTACTTTGCAGCAAGCAGAGGCACAACAAGCTATGGCGCTCTCACTCGGATAGCGACCTCTCAGATCACCACGAGTCTATCGGCAAAACAGGAATGGACCTGAGTAAAAAGGACATTACATCATCAGCAGAGCAGCTCTCAGACATACATCATTCCTTTACACTGGGACCTCAAATGGAGAACTGTAACCCAAATTGCCCTAACAGCAACTCCTTGTGCAACACAACACAATCACATTTTGAGTTTACATCTTGTGACTTTCACACTGGACAAATAGAGGACATTCTGAACCTCAACACCATGAATGGGTGTCTGGCACGATGCTGCTTGGACAAGTCTTCTGTCTTCCTAGACAATTGTAGACCTGAAAGACTGTCTGGAGATGTATCTTCACATTCTGAATCTTTCACTGATAGAAGTGCTGAGCTGCAGGACTTTATGCTGGAAGATATGGAGAAAGACGCACTGAAGAATGATGTGAACCTCCTGCCTATGAGGGAGCTTGAATCACAACCAGGTGAACCCCCAGAATCCCCTTACCAACCTTCTTTTACATCTCAGTCAGAGGACATGAGTGCGGATAGGATTGATTTCCTAAGTGCACTGGAAAAGTTTGTTGAATTATCTCAGGAGAATCGGCCACGCACATGCTCCACCACCCGGGCAGAGGAGCAACTCAGTAATGTTAGAAATGGGGGCCTAAAAGGATCTTGGCCTGAAAATGTCATCTCTGAAAGCCCAGTGGATAAGCTACGAGTTAGCCCTGATATCGGCACACCACAAGTTTCTGAAGACTCGTCTACAGATGAGGAGCAGCCAAAGGTATGTGCAAATTTAAAACTGTTCTTTCTTTCATTTGTTGCCCCACCTCTCCCATATACCACTCATAATTAAGGAATTAACATTGCAGTCTAGTATAACAGATTTTGGGTAGAACACTTGATTTTAGTTGCTTAGATTCATAAGATATGTTGACGCTATTGTCATCCTAGCATCATCATCATCATAGTTTGCCCACCCATAAACTGTGTATCGCCTAACATCCCACACATGCTGAAAAGATGCTTCTAGAAATTTTGGAGGTCATCAGAGGCCTTCACATGTACATCCATTCTGCTCCAAGGTCTCCATGTTCTCCTAAGTGGCAGACAGTTGGGTCGGAGCACAGCCCCCCCTATGGACTACATACAGTTGCATCTAACTCTTCAAAAGTCTGTATTTGTATACAACCGGGGTTTCTGATTCAGAGACACCAAGGATGAGCTGGAGTGCTGTTTACTCAAGCAAAAGGCATGTACAAGAAGCTTATGGTGCCTGTAGTTCAGTGCCATTGCTAGGTATGAACCTTTGTTAAATAAAGTTTGATTTTAACTTTTTGACCAATTTTGTGTTTGGCATCCATTTTAAATGATACAAAATATACCAATGTATAGCAAATACAAATGTTGTGAGTATCTAAAGTATGCTTTTTTTTAGTATCATTTTTGCAAAGTAATAAAAGACGTGCTAATTGTGACTTTGTTTTTGTTTATCTTTTCTCTCAGGAGATTTCTGAGCAAAAAGACCATCTCTCCAAATCTCACTCAGAAAATGGAATATCTGTGAAAGAGATTGTAACAGAGATCGAGTCCTTCAACCAGGGAGTAGGCCAGTGCCAACAAAAAACAGACAATCTGTCTAGCCAAGTACAAGCACCAAAGAGAAACACAATCCACGATTTGTCACTTGAAGCTGTTTGTGAGCCAGAAAATGGCAGCAAGTCTCCAGGGTGTGAGGGTGGAACAGCACCGTTACAGGATAAGCCTAATGATCCAAAGTGTCAAGAGGGAAAACAAAGTTCTGAGGAGGATAGTGAAAATTCAAATGAGACAAATGACCAACAGGATCTTTGTGGCCAGGCTCCTAAGTTGTGTGTAGGCTCTGTCCGAAGAGCCACAATGGAGTTTGAGGAACGTCTAAGGCAAGAACAAGAACAGCAGCATATCACTGCTGTGGTAGTCCGAAAAAATTCAAAGAATGATGCAGCAGTTTGCGACGCACCTACAAAGTGTAGGCTTGAAGACTCTTCACTTGATATTTTAGATCACGAAAGGGATACAAGGGTTAGACTAAAAATTACAGGGTTTGAGGCTGCAGAATCTCCCAGATCTGAGCCATCTACAGATTCACAATCATCTCTGCTGTTTGAGCCTCTTTCTGAGCAGGAAAAACAGGACACCAGCCATATAGGGCTTGCAGTTAAACCTGAAGGAGCAGGGAACGAGCTCCAGTCGCCTACTACAGCTGAAATCCTCGAGAGAACAAACGAGTCAGAACATTTTCCAAAGAGGATAGAATTAGATGATGGCATTGAAATAAAGTTGTATGATAGTAATGACAACATTTCTCTGCAGGATTCTGTAATATATACTGGGGAAGTAGCTGTGGACTCGGAGTGTCATCATCTGCCATTAGAAGCACCTTTAAGAAATGTCTGTGCAAGCACATCAGACAGTTCGGCACATATAGAAAACCTGCCTTTGCTCAATTCACCAAAATCAGGATCTCCAAACTTGTCCTTTCCTGTCGATAGCCCAAAGGAAGAGCTCAGTGTAATAGAATTGAAAGATCCTTCAGATTTTTCCAGTACTAATTATTTATGTCACCCATGTTCCATTGTTTTAGAAGGTGCTACTGAAGAGTGCACCAGTACAGATGAGGATTTTGGCAACCTGTCAAATTGCACAGACAAATACAGCAGTGACTTCTTTTTGGGTGAGAGTGAGTTGATGGAAAGGGAAGCAGACAGTGCCTTGTCACAATTGAGTCCTGAAGATCTTAACTTAATCAATAAACTCACTGAGAATATACGAGAACTACATGAAGTATTGGACGTCTCCGCTTTATCTTTTGGCCTTCCCCATAGCTCTAGTAGTGACAGCATCAAAGACTCTGGAAACAGTCCCGGTGTTGTCAAGCAAAGAGCAAAAGAAATTGAGGCACGGATTCGGCAAGCTGGTCTCACCACTCCGTCCCAAATGAAACGTTCTGCATCTCTGGCCAAACTGGGCTGTTTAGAGCTTTCTAAGGATGATTTATCCGAGAGAGAATCTGTCTCATCGGACAATAACCTAACTTACCCTGATCTGCTTCAGAGCTCCCTCCGGATTGTGCCAGGAAATTATGAATCAGATTTAGATTCAAAATCAGAAGACCCACCTGGAAAGCTTTGCATTCTTTCTGTGCAAGCTTCCACCGGGGTGGAACCCACCCAACATTTTGTTGAACAGATCAAGACTGCAGAGTGTATTGTGAAAAGCAAACCAGTGGAAAAGCCTCTTGTGCAGTATGCCAAAGAGTTTGGTACAACTCAACAGGGTTTACTTCCAGGTTCAGAGTCTGAATTGACAGTTTCCCAGGAGCACCTTCACCGATTGGTGGAGCTAGAACCTCCAGTCCCACTGTTAACTATAACACCCAGGCATGAGCATGGTAGAACTCATCCTTTGAGAAGGTTAAAAAAGACCAACGAGAAGAAGAGGACAACCAATCCACTATACAACACCATGTAATCCTGGAACTTTTTAGTGTTTGTTTTGATCTTCTAAAGGGGCAGGTGTAATATGTGAGGAACGTGCACTTTATTGGTTAATTTTATATATTTTGACATATTTTATGTTTTACTGTTCCTGATGCATGTATGGTATGGGCTTCCCTTACTTCTCCTTCCCTTTGTAAGTAATTCCTGACAGCACATGTGTTAGTCAGTGTACATATATAAATATATATCATTTTTTTTAACTTTTGAGAACCTCAGATGTTTGTTTTAAGAGCTTCATAGCAGGTAACTGTTCCAAGTTAATCTTCAGGCTGTGTCACCGTATTGACAGTGTCTACCAATGCTGTAGAAACAACGCGCACTTTCAGATGCAACGTGTTTCGGCTTTCTTCAGCACTTCAAGTCAATGCTCTGTCTGAGGATTGGTGACTTTTCGATGTCCTCAGCAAATGTGAAAGATTGTTGATGAGCAGAAGTTGATTATCAGTCTGCTGGTCTTGCAGTGTTCTGAAGTTGTCGTCCTCGGTTGTTTTTAGGATTTTCACAAATCTTAAGTTATTGTAGAGTTTCCTTATTTTATTTTATGGAGTCACCTTCTTTCCCTGCATTCTATACCAAATGCCTTTTTGGGGTCAACAGTTTTGCCATGCATCTAAAGATGCCATGGCAAATCTAAGGTTCATAGTGCCACTTGGCTGTTGACTTTCCACTCTTAATATAAACCTTACTGAACAACATGAAGCCTATTTTTGTGGCAGGTCTGGATAATGACATTTCATGTGCTTTGCTGCACTGCGGACAGTTCTATGTAACTGACCAGCCATGGTATCTCCACTTCTCGAACCCCTGGCAGTACATCTTTTTCTGAAGATTTTTATTCTCTTTGTGAGGTGGTGGTAGGTTGTCACAGCCTGAATAAACATAGTCCATCCTTTTACTAGCAAGTCCTCATAAACAAAAGCACCGTTCTCAGCATGGCTCGTTCTGTTTAAAGGGTTAGCCTACCCTGACACTGGTGAGCTAAACCAACTCCTGAGGGCGCTAGTGTTGGTAATATTAATGCTGGAGTTCCTGAGTGAAAAGCCCTCAGTATTGTTTGAAGTAAGTGATAAATGAAATCTATCTGGGTGAGCAATGCCCTTCATAATGGCCCCATAAGAGCGGCAGAGCTGGGAACTCTGGTATGGAGATCTTAACCTTGGATTCCTCGAGAGACGTCTGTCCAAAAGTGCAGCATTTGTCTTGGCGTAATGACCTTTTAAGCACTGAAGGCTTTGACTTGTTAAAAGGATACCACATGACCAGGCAAACATCTGATCTGTATTGAAATGTGCTCGCTCTTGTTGGTCTACAATATGGGAATTAACCCTTCATTACTTGAATAGTGCTGTGGACCTCCCCCCCAGAGTTTATGGCCATATTTGTTTTGCCTTTACCCTTGTTTTTAATTTGATACACCCCTCTACTGTCCCACTTTCCCTCAATTTACACCTTCACTCACCGTAAATCTAGTGATTCTCAGTGCTGCCTATCCGTCTGTATGATAATGATCTGTAAATGTTACGTAGTGAGTGTTTGATATTCAGTGCAAAGTTATCAAATATTTGGCCTTCCTGGAACTGTTTTGTCAATGTTTGCTTGTATTGAAGCATATGTATGTTCGAGTGTGTATACATGTGTACAAGATTGTACATTACCACACATTAATGTTTGTTATATATAATGTTTTATATTGAAGTTTTACTGACTTTGGGGTTTTAATTGGCAATATTTTGCTGCAACTGGAATACTCCATTTAGTGATGTTTTAATGATCATTTCCTGTTTTTAGCAGTTGTTTTTAATTTGCTGCTCTACTTTGCAAAAAGAGGTTCCTGAAAGGCAACTAAACCTAAAATGGAAACCTATAAACGCACACATCTTTGAAAAAAAGAATACAAGGATTTCAAAAGACACAGAAAAAGCGTCTCATCTGTTTAATGCTTCTCAATAAATCTGGGAATGTTAGGTCTACCGTAGCCCTAAATTTGTGTATCAAAGCACAATTCTACTTTTTAGGGCAATTGTTCCATAATCTCAGTCCCATGCTTTGCAAAATAACTTACCTATAACATTCATGTCATTAAGCTAAAATATTTTTCTGCCTATCGTGCTTCTGTTCAACTAGTACGTGAACCTTTACTTGGCTCTGCACTTCGCATAAGGTGTATTTAAAGGGTGGAAAACTTCTCTAGATTCCCTCCACAGTTGGTTACATGTTCGCAAGCCCTTGGTCGCCTTGTCTCTGTTGAAGACGAGAGTCAGCAAAACATTGGCCCGCTCCTTCAGCAGAAATCACACAACTAAATGCCCCAGATTTTGGTTATGTAAGAGGCACTGGAGGGAGAGCCTAGAATACAATGGGGGGAATTTATAAAAACTGGAACAGACAGAATCTGGAGCAGTTGTGCACAGTAACCAATCAGCTTCTATCTTCAGCTTGTTCAATTGTTGAAAACAATAGCTAGAGCCTGACTGGTTGCCATCCAGGTGCTCCAGATTATGTCTGCTCCAGTCTTCGTAAATTCCCCTCAGTGTTCTCTGCCTTACTCTTTTTAAGGGCAGGTTCACACCATTTTCCGGACCAGATCTGCAACGCAGTGCATTGTGTTTGTGCCGCGTTCTTACTGCGATTTTGCGCATTCCGGATTGCATTTGTATGCGGTTTTGATGTGTTTCCATGCTTTCCAGTGCATTCCAGACAAAAAGGGACATGCAATATTTTTCTGGTCTGGTCTGGAACGGAATGTGCGGGTCTGAACAGAGGCCAGAGATGGCATAGGGATGCATTTTGGGTCCGGAAACAATCTGAGCTGGTCTGGCGATGATGTGGTGTGAATAGGCCCTTGGGCAAGAGAAGTAACAACAAATTGGACTGTTTAAAGTAAACCTGTGCTTTTCCCATTTTTAGCGCAGTCTCATCACAAATACATATCCTTGTGTAAGGTGCAACTCGTAGCTTACACAATGCTTTTCTTCCTCCACTGGCAGCTGAACATAGTGAAAGGAAGGCAGTTAAAGAAGTTTGCGGTCTGCATTAAAGAGACATTGTCACTTTAAACCTTCTAAAAATTATCTTTTCCAGGGATCCCCTGCTTCTCCTTTCTCTTCCTCCACCAGATCAAAATAGCTGGTACTTCTAGGTGTGGGGAGCATATGACTGCCTCCCATGTGACAGTCCTCAGGCCAAGCAGCCGATTGCTATACACGAGCACTGTCATTTGATGAGGGGGATAATGTCACTGTGTCCTCTAGATTCAGACGCCTGGTATTTAGCGCCATCTTAGTTGGAGGAAGGATTGGTGAGGGATCACTTTAGAGGTGAGTATCGGTGGGTTGAAGCATTTTCACAGATACGGTCCCTGAATAAGCAAAACGTCTCTTTAAAGTGAACCTGTTACTTTGCACTGCATGACCAACGCACAGGTTAATTTTACTACCCTTAGTGCATTGCTTCTCTAAATGTCACGTTTGTACATGATGGGTTACAGATAAAGAGCCGGAACAGAAATGTGGCCCTTTAGTGTGCGCTCATGAGCAAAAAGAAAGCTGTGAATACCTGAGATTAAAACTATTGGCACAGTCTCTGTAATTCTGTGTATTGTATTGATCATAAAACACATCTCCATGATTGAGGCACTTTTTCCTGCTTTTTGAATCTCTGTAAGCTGTTTTATACACGTGTGCGTTACACGCCATGGGCTGTCATCAGGATTTGTAGACTGGATGAGTACAAACCCCAGTTGCTTTATGTGTATATGTTGTATGCCTTTTCATTTTAGAGCCACTTGCATTTCAGGTTTTAGTTCCCATAGAACATCATCTGGAGCCAGTCAGCAGGTCTCTGAGATATACTCCTATTCCGTCCCTGCTCCTCCATGAAGTCAAGTCTCACTGCAAACTGAAGGATGAGGCAGTGGGCAGCACTTACACCAGACTCTCTTTAGCTATCATGCAGCTATACTTCAGTAGTATCCAAAGCAGTCTGGGAGTTATAGTTCAGCAAAAGACAAGACATCCATAGTGAACGTGTCTCCCCTTTACATTATGCATTTGTTGCTGCAATATGTGCCTGCCAAGTTGTATGGAAGTTCCATCAGGTTTGTCAAATCAGTTGTACTTATATACATGTTCTTATTTATGTGTTTATGTTGAAGCTGTGGTTAACCTTTCCAATCGGGTAGAGAGAACATCACAAGCAGCAGACTTGATTAAATATAATTTAATGGAGATAGTGTGTGACAGGCTTTCATACCATCTCATTGGCTTCCTCATCTGTGAGCAGATCTCCAGTTGAGCCACTTGTAAGTGTAACCCATCATGGCCTCTGCAGAGAGGGGAGCGCCCATACAGAGACTCTTCACAGCAGCTCACTCAAGTTTCATTTTGTAAAATGTAAAACACAATGTTTTTTTAAGGGCATTTTTGTACAAAACGCTGTTCTTTGGTCTTTTACAAAAAATACTGTGGTTGAGGAAATTTATTGTTTACATTGTGAATATTAAACCTGAATAAACAAAAAATACTCATTGCCTGGTTTATGTTTCAAATGTGTTTGTGCTTAAAGAGTATATAGGGAATTTCCAGAGAAGGGAAATTATCATTGCTTGGAATCAATGGGAAAGACCTGTTTGCATCTTAACACTAGATTATCCCAGCAAGTGAGAGCTTCTCAAAGAAAAAATATAATTCTTCCTGAGAACCACTCGCTGCATTTCATTGGTTGGATTTCAATCCATAAATATATCCAGCAGCTGAATGGGGTTCCTGCTGTTGAGGTGACTGAAAGGGTTGTGGACCCTTTAGTGTTATTCCCACTCTGAGATACCCTTCAGCCCCCCTTCATGCTTTAATTTGTGTGTTGAGGCACACTGCGATAGGGCAATCTATTTGTTTTAAATGGGCTGGCAGCACACATCATTGCATACAAAACTGCCAAAAGCATTTTAGGCTACGCAGCGCACCAAAATGTGCCCATATGTATGTATTGCAGTGTAGTTGGGTTATCAGCTACTCCATGTCAACAACGGGACACCATTATGAGTGAATAACAACATATTGTGGTGACACATGGTAAAACACACTAGCCTTAATATATGTTTTATTAGAAAAGTGTACAATTAGGGACACCTCAAACCCCATTCACACTTGCAGCGTGTGTGAATGCGTGCACTTTTGCACATTTTATTGCCATGCATGAAAAGTGCATGCTGCGCTTGCAGTGTCATTATTTGTTAGTCACCCCAAACAAGGCAAGCAACGCATCAGCGCACTTAACTATGAAGCACATAACCATGCAAAGCCTTCCACACACTCACAAGTTCACATCTACCCTCCCTTTTGGAATTTATTCTGGAAAACCAGAGTTTCCGGTATCTTAGACCATAAGGTTCAAAAAGGGACACAAATGCTCTTGGGGGTAAGAGAACTATGTCCAAATCGGGGTTTTTTTTTAGCCATAGTTCTCATTTACTATGTCGTCCTGTGACCCAAAACTCAGCATATAGCGGGCTATTGCCCACTATATACTGACTGCGCAGAGCCGCGCTGCAGCCGGGAAGGATCCAATATTGCCAGGATCCACCTCACTGCCTGATTGACGGCTAGTTCTACCTCTCTAGATCCAGCTGTGCCCGCCCCCTCCCCATCTGTCTCTCTAGCCAGTGCTGTCGTTCCCTGCAGTCAGGGATTCCCCGTGCCAGGGTTGTTGACTGACTGTCGCCGCTAGATATGTAAGCCTTTAAAAAAATGTGTTTTGTTCATGGATTTTTCGTTATTTCATTTTTCGGGATTCAGGTCCGAAAGTTAATTAGTTTCAGGATT